ACATCATCTACCCCTGTTTGGCGTCACCGTTTTGGATCTGGCGCTGGTCGCGTGCTTGCACTGGTCGCGTGACCGGCGCGGACGGAACAGTCGAATCCATCTGCAAACATCCGAAGTACGTGGACATCTTCAGTCCACGCTACCGTGCGCGACCGTGGAAAGAAGGCAACATGCCAAGGTTTGGCATTTCTTCGATTTTTGGACGTGATGGGGTGTCTGAGCCGGAGGACCTGAAAGCCCCGAGCCGGAAGCTCGAATTCGGATCGTAGCAACGTGTCCTCACAGGGTCTCCCGGCAGCACTGTCCTCGCTGGTGAAGTTCTGAATCTTGAACTTCCTGTCGCGCGCGCACGCGTCGCGCACCTTTGCACGCAGTCTGAGGCAAAGGGCGAGGAGACTTGACTATCACCCATTGAACTGTTGAACCTCTATTTTGGAACCCTACCACCCAAAAACGATACCAAACCGATGGTCGAATGAAGTCTCCACATAGAAGTGCAAATCAGGGTGAATGTCGTCCTTAAAAAAAGAAAAAACAAAAAAGACACACACAAAAGCATCTGTGATCATGTGTGGGTGAGGAGCCTGGAGCACCTTTCTTGGAATCCCCTTTTTAGGTGAAGACGTTCTCTACCGACCCTCCACCCGAATTTCGGGACATTCGAGGACCTGGACCATCCACGATGGGAGTCATGGCACCGCGCGCCTAGAGTGAACCGTGCAGCTTTGGTCACAAAGACATGCAAAGACCGGGACCACATCGACTCCAAAAGGGAAAAGATGTCTTCCAACCGCAGGGTAAAGTCTCAGAATCGGGATCGTGTGCAGGAGGGTGGAACCTCATTCAAGGGGTCACCAAAGCCGCTGGACCACAGCTGCTGAAGCGCAGACGTCAGAGCGACATGGATTCGTCGGTCAGTTGTAAGCGGGAAACTTCTGGTGAAAACACCAAGTCATTGCAACCGCTTTTGGGCAGATCTTCAATCTATCCCTCAATCCAATGGCCCATCGACCATCGTGCTGGAGGTCAAAGCCACCTTCAAAACCCAAAACAAACCTCCTCCGCGATAGACAAAAAATGTTTAGAAAAAAACATAAGCGATAGAAAACCTCTTCCGAACATCCGTCGGAGTCCTGCTCACACCTTCTTCTTGAGCTTCCTCAAGTTCATCTCTACGGCGCTTCTTGATGTCTGCCAGCGTGGCCTGTCCCTCGCTGGTCTTGACCTTCCTCACAGCGAAGAGCGAGCGACGCTTCGCGCGGCGGCTACACACGGCGCAGACGCTGCGTCTCGCGACGTGGAATGCGAATGCACGTGGAGGGGACCGGGTGCGAATGAACGTGGAATGCGAGAAGATGTGTGAAGGTGCGGGAGAATTTAGACAAAGAAAACGAGAATCAGTGGGTCGTGGTTGAGGAATCAGTGGTGAGGAACTGCAGGTGTTCACTTCAAAGCGAAAAACATGGGGACAGCATCCAAGGACGACAACTGTCTGTTGCTTCTTCTTTTGTCACTGGATTCATCGCTGCTCCGTAGGACAAATACAATTTGAGTCTCTGTGAGCTTGACCCAAGAGCCCAAGAACACAGTAAACTGTTCAGCAACAAAGTTCGACAAGGTTCCACAGCCTCCCAAGCTCGCTCTTCACACTCGCATTACGCACTCACCCACATCACGGAATTGACCAGGCCATCTGTCCATCGCGATCATCCGATCCTGAGATCCCGCACCAGTTCGGATCATCGCCCTTCATCCGTTCGAAGGCTCCGCTCTTCTGCTCTTGCGTCTGGTTCCGCGCGCGGCCGCGGTTGCGGTGGAGAACGGGTGCGAACCGCGGTGGAGAATGGGGGCCGTGAGGGATGGGAAGTACAAAACGTAGTAGAAAGTCTAGCTTTGCTTGAAGAGAGGGGTCAGTCTGTGATCCGAGAACGGTTCTATTGTTTGCCTTGGGAATCCCTTTCTGAAGCTGAGGGATGTCCTCAAACTGTCACTGGGATTTCAGGAAAAAACTGCGTACTGAAGGAAGAAATGCTGTAAGCAGCTAAGATGGACCGTATGCCAGCAGTGATACTTGAGAACAGGAATTGCAATCTGTATGCTTTGAAGACAATGCAAGTATGCTTGGTCAGGAAAAACGTGAAAGCCACCTTGCTATGGAGTTTGACTCAAACATAAACACCTAACGCAACCACTGCTATGGATCTTTATTTGTCCTTTTAAATCACCTTAATCACCTCTGATTGGGCGCCCACAAAACCACAACAATCTCCATTAATTGAAGGAACCAGTAAGCTCCATAGGTTCACCCTGCTTCACCCTGCTTCACCACGTTCGTATTGGCCGCCTGAGGCTCATTCTGCGCACTGATGGAGGCCTGGTACGCCGCGAGCCTGAGTGAACAGAAAGGTCTCTGGAGTCGAGTTGGGAGTCCTTCGACTGTGGCCGAAGCCCTGCGGTCTGCGGTCGGTTCGAGTGCTGAGTGCATGGCACACTGGTCCAGACCGTGCTGTGTGGGGTGCTTCCAAAACTTTGATCCCCTTGGAGCTGGGATGAAGCGGATCTGAAAAGAAACTCAAATGAGCTCGAGTTACTGTAAGCCCAAACCATGTGAGCACTGAGCTCATTGGCGATCGGCGCAGCGCGGATCGGTGAGACTCGGATTGTGCCCACCGCGGATTGAACCGTTATGAACTCCTCTCAGTTCCTAAGAGAAAGGATCTCAAGTGTACCTCCGACCTTCTCCCATGGATGTTCAAGCTTCACATCAATGCAGATGTATGTCACTAATCACTAATCAAGCTGTGACTACCTATGACCCTTTCATCAGTCTTCTCATTTAAACACTCCTGTGATCCACCTCACCATATCTCACCTCTCACGTGAAAACCAAATGCTGCAGTTTACAGACTAGCCGCACACGCCCGCGCAACAAATCGAATTAAACACCGGTGCTTAACTACTACCGTAACAACCCCTAGTGTCCACACTCTTTGGGGAAGAAAAAACAAGAACAACGAGTTCCGCGGTGAAAAACACCAAGAGACTCTTCATCGTCGTTGTTCATCGTCCTGAGCGTGGATCCAAGAGTCTTCCCCCAGTGGTTCAGTGCTTCCTCTTGCGGATGGGAACCAACTTGCTGCACCAGAGAAATCTGGGCTGAAGTAGGACCCCAAGCTTTGGTGAAAATTCGAGACTTGCGGGGGGATCTGTAGGGAGCCAGTGTACTTTCCAAGACCAAACAACCAAACAACGCCCTTTCTACCAGCACCCTCCAACAGGTCACCATCTACGGCTTTTAAGTCTGCAAAAGCCACCAGAGGAGACCTGGAGGGTCCTGGTAGAGCTTTGTCATCCAAGTTGGCTCCTACACCCGGCAATTACCATCCTTCCCAAGGCTCTCTTGCGCCATGTGGAATCACTCCTTGAGGGTACCCTCCCTCACGGTTCAGCTATGACTCTGCGACTTGTGAGGGGCCCGGAGCTTGCGGATGACACGAAAGTACTTACTCATCCTACAAAAATGGAGTGGGAGGGTAAGAACAACAGCAGGAGCAACAATAACCAACACTCCAACACTACCTCAACTCACCCCAGAGAGAAGCACTAGCAGTCACTAGCACCGAGACACGCTGGGATTTGCTCCTTTGCTCTTCCCGGTCTTCCCAAGGGGAAGAAGTCCGCAATCAGGCCCCGTCAGCCAGGCTCGTCCCCTCCGAACACCCATAGTCAGAACAACCCTGTTCTTGCATCTACTTCGAGGGCCCCGGGACACATCCAGTTCCGAACCAACTGGCATGACTAGCCCCACACACCCACAGGCTGTACCCCTCTGGCCTTGGCTCTCCACGCGCTTCCTTCCCGTGCGCCCCTCGGGAACCCCGTTCGCGGGACGCGACGGCTCTTCCTGCCCGGTCACTTGAGCCAAAGGGGATCGCGCAGGAAGGAGGTACCAGCCAGTATGCTGCGGCATGCTGTTTGAAAGCAACTAAGAATAGTGGCGAATCCACCCAAATTGGTGACTGAAGATGGGGGTGCAGATTAACACAAATAGAAAACGAACAAAAATAGAACTCTCATCCAACTATATAATTCCCTCCACTTCACATGTGCTGTTCTTTTTTTAATGAGACCCACAATGACCCACATCTTCAACATCTCGTAGACCTCGCAAGACCTCGCACTCCACAGGAAAAGGTGGTGCCCGACCACATGAGTTTCCCTGCTGGTTAAGGAAACGATTCTCCTCGACCTGGCGATGGCGGTGCCCGACCCAGGTCGAAGATTTTCCAGTTGGATTCTTCAAGTGAAGAAAGTGAAGATACACAAACAGTTGTCCTGTGCGTAGGTCTGAATATGGCAGGCTTGGTGAGTTGTTCTAACCTAAAAGCACCTCGCAGGCCAACCAAACTAGAACTTACAAGCAAAAAACAGGTCAAACACACAGCAAAAACATGCCAAACTCCAAAGCGAGTGGGCATATCAACAACCATCCCAGCAAAACAATGAATGACACCGCCACTGCCATGACACCGGACAGTGACAGTCACCCCACCTGCAAAGCGCTGTTGAGGCGTTGCATGGCGTCTAAAATCTTCTCTTCTGAGGGCATCTCCCCCTCCACCTTGCAAAGCGCAGCAAAGCAGGACCAAATAAGGTCAGAGCGGAGAACGATCACTAGCTACGGCCCTTTGTACTCTGGCGACCCTTCTGCCCCATCAGCTGCCTCCATGGTCATCATCGGGGAAATGCGCCGGCGTAGCTCTGGCACCTCAAGCATTGCCCACTCAATAAAAAGTAACATGTGGCGCTTGCTTCTGGTAAGGGCAACTTGGTGTCCTGAGGACAACCTTCTTCGCACCGCATCTTGCATAAAATCGGTTGTTACGCTTATCAAAAGGTGGCTGTTGTCCAAGTGCTTTGAACCCAAACCCATTGTTCCTTTGTTCCTGACGTTGCAAACCACGTTTCATCCGACTCCCACGGCAACGGCCCAGTGAGTTTCAACAGGTGGGCAGTCCGGGACTTCGGGCAACATGGTTCCGTATCATCTCGGTCTCATTGGCCGTCCTCAGCGTGCGCAGCGTGCTGAAAGAACACGAGAACACTGCAGTGATGCCCTGAGAAAGAACTGCATCCACCTCACTTGCCTCACTCTTCAGGCTGAGCCCCCAAGCCGTGGTGCGTGTCCCTTCTCTGTTCGGTGAGCAGCCACAAACTCTTGAAGCCTCACCCAGCTCACACAAAAACACACGCAACACACGCCGAAGCAAACACATCTGAAGCAAGCGGCCGCTGACAACGAATCCCCGCAGCACCAGCCGCTGGTGCCCGCTGGCGCCTGCTCGACGAGCGAAGCTCCAAGAAGTTCATGGTCTTCTCCCACACGAAGGTTTCACTTCCGAGCAGCCCGGTACTTGGCACCTGAGATTTCATCTGCTTAACAGCACTGGTGGGCAGCTGGAAACCGGGTAGGAACTGGCGTGCTTTGCCGATCGAGGATGTGTTTGGAACTGTGGAATGTGGGCGTCCAGTTTTGCCTCGGAAAGCGGGTGGAAATAGCCACCAAAGGCGGGGTATTTTGCTCGGATGGATGGTGGAAGACCCCAAACAAGTCAAACCCGCATGGTCCTGGGCAAGCGCACCAGCTCCAGGACATGCAAGGCTTCATCTCCATGTCGATGCTGCCGCAAGACGTGGTTGAAGACCATGCAGACCTCCGTCTCTCGAGAAGCAGCTGAGATGAGCAGGTACGAGTATGATTCACAGATATTCACGGTCAGTTTTGTCTATGTTGTGCTTGCCACTAGGATTTGGCGAGTCTACTTACACTCCCTGAAACAATCATGGATGCTGGAAAATGGTCCGTTGGATGACCATTTTTCCTCTACGGACAGGTGGTTTTGCGACTCCCATGATTATCTCAGTGTATATAGTATACACGTTCACTCATTTTGATCTAGCTCCGAAGGGGTTTTCGAAGTTCTCTAACCTAGGATGTTTGTGAGGGAAATTGGTTTGCAACAGCCTGCTGGGTATTTGTTTGGTCTGGAGTCTGGTGGTTCTTCAGACCAGAATGTTTCTCTCTCACGTCATCCTTTCACAAACATGTCGATCTGGCGTCAGATCTCACTTTTCGAGCAAAACGCCAAACTGTTGACCCACCATGACCCACCTCTTCGGCCAACTGCTTCTGTGACTTGCTGGTCCGCGCAAAGCGTCCTGGCAGCCAGCCATAGCCAGGCCGTGCTGGGCGCGGAGACTTGCGATTCCGTAGATCGCCGATCAATGTTCAGCCCAAATGGGGTGCAGGTGAACACGGTTGGAGCTGGAATTTATGATCAGAAGGTGTGCAACCGAAGGTGTGTCTGGGGCGCAGACTGGCCGATTCGACCTCCAAGCAGCAACTGAAAAGCGTCGACCTGAGTCGACCTTGGGTCGACCCGATCTGCGGGTGTCCCCCCAGCGCGCGGGGAGTTTCACGCCGACTCTCGCTCTGACTCCTCGACATTCTTCTTCAAAGGACTCCCACTCTTGAGTGAAGAGCTCTCGAGCCTGCTGCTCCTGAGAGGTGTTTCTTTTCGGTGCCGTTTTGGGTGGGACCAGCATCGGGTCTAATAGCGAGAAACAAAGCGAAATGGCCGGGAGGAGGAGGAGGAGGAGGAGGAAGAATGCGAGAAGTTGATCTTTTCGCGCTTTTTTCCGTGAATGGAAAGGGGGAGGTGAGAATTCAAGGAATGGAAGGGCTGTAAATCAACCATTCTTGGAACCACATGTTGTCCACGGTCATGTTTATCTTGGACCTGGCAGAAACCACACACTCACACACCCAAAGAGAAAACCAAGCACTTCCCCACCCCCCCAAAAAAAGAACTGCACTTCACCATGGAGAAATTCTCCAGAAGGGCTCCCGTCGCTGAACCTTGCCGACTTTCCATTCAAAGCCCCGCGCACGGCCAGAACTGCTGCCCTTCGAACCCCTTCCGCGTGGCGTCCACAGCGCGCGAGCGGAGCGCTGGCGGCCGAGCGACTGCGAGGCTTTGAGAGGATTCCACCTGGCAGAAGCTGAACTGTCACAGCTCACCAGGCGACTGGAAGCTGGAATCTGTTGAGTCTCATACTGAACCTCTGAGTCTCGTCGTCCAAGTTCTTTTCTTCAACACAGAACATCTGAACCCCACGAACACGACCAACAGCACCTGTCCGCCAAAAGCCACGACACGACCGCGTCAGCACAAGTTTGTGGCGCCTGCCAAAGCTCTTCGATGGTCTTTTTGAAGTGGACCTGCGCAGCAGAAGAAGCACATCCAGGCCAGCCCGCTTGGGGCCGCTTGGCCGAGCCTGTAGGTCATGATGCTTGAACATCACTGGCCCAGTAGTGCCTAGTAAGATCCAGTAAGGCAGTACTGGGTAGGGAAATCTGCAACTGTTCAAGGATGACTGAGTCAGAGGTGCAATATGATGAAATCTTCCTCTCCATTGCGGTCAACATACAGAAGTCCACCTCAATTGCTGCCTTTTGGTCCTCTCCAACAAAAAAGGTCCGCCAGGTGGTCTCAGGTCTTCATTTTACGGTTTTACAGCTAACAAGACTTATGATCTAACCTTATAAGTGCTATTGTCCATGCGTTTCACGCTTTTCACGGCTTTTTCCTAGGACTGATCTCTTCGTCTTCCCACCTTGAGCGCTCGGAGTTGGTCCCGATCCACGGCATCAGCTAAGCACAAGGACCAGGTGTAGCGGGTGAGCTCTCCCTGGCGGTGCGGTGCCCAGGTGCTGCGCGCACACGCGAGCGTGGAACGAAGTCTTGGCCTGGTACTCAATGGGTGTGGCGAGCTTCTTCTTCGCCTCCTCCTGCTGAGAGCCAAGAACCGAGAGCAACTGTCCCAACCTGCAAGGTCCATGTTCCATGCATCCTCCTCCAAGCATGATGGAAGACACCCGTCGCTACCCTACCCTTGGAAAGTCTTGGAAAATTGAACACGGACAGGGTAACCCTAGAAATTAAGACATCAAGATGCATCAAGAAGTCAGGAACACTAGTGCGGGTTCGTCCGCAAATGGGTCGAATGGAAAGCATCAAAGGCTAACAGGCAAACTTGCTGCGTGGTCACGAAAGGATCATTCGGTGAAGTTTACAGCCCTGAGCTCGTTCAGCATCCTTCAGCCCTGAGCTCTCAGGTTGACTCTTCCATTGTCGTTCTGTTGGTCAGAGTGGAACCGATGCATACCACTTGAAAGCCTGGCCAATCCTCCCAATAGGAGCGATCGGACGCTACTAGGAGCAAGAACGCTACACAACTTGAAAGCCTGGCAAAATCCTCCCGTCTTCCCCGTAGACCGCGCCGAAAGGCCGACTTCGGCCGGTCCTTCTGCGCATCTGGAAGCTTGGATCTTCGGGCCTGGAGAAACGACACCGGTTTCGGGAACGACACGGAGGTCGGTCACCGTGTCCCTAGATGTCGGTGCAGTCAGTCCATTGCAAACGGTTTTTCTCACCAAACTATTAGGGATTCTGCCTACTCTGAGACCACTGCAGGTCCGATTTGAAGCTTTACATGTCATGTCTTTTACATCGGCCGACTCGTACACCAGGTCTCTTCTTTGATCCAGAGGGTCTTTTGATGGCTATTGAAACATGTTAAGCAAAAGCACCTGAAATATCTCTTCACAGCAAATTTGTGCCAGGCCCGGAAAAATCTTAGTCATCACCTTTTTCGGGTGCTTTGACCTTGCAAAAAGTGTGGCATGCATGTCACCTCTCTTCCAAGTCGGGGATATTGTGGGCTTTTGTGGGGTGCAGCAGACCTTGTCCATGAACAGTCACATGGTTGTAGCCTTGTTTCACCTACCCTGCAGTTCAGAGCGAGAAGCTCAGTTTCATGGATCATCCTCTCCCATGAAGTTGGCCTAAATCGGCACTGCTGCCTTATCTGAGTAGATAGAATATGTTGCACATCAAGAAACTACAAGAAACTTACCATTCTTCATCCATGTTCATCCCATTTCCAACTTTAAAGTATTCTAGGCTATTAACCAGCAAAGTACCAGGTCTGGAGAAAACAACACAAACAGGAAAATAGCACGCGAACAAAGCAAAATCGTTTGAACACCCTCTGGAACAGCTTTGGAACGAGAAGTCCAGCCTTGAACACTCTCTCAAGCTCCGCTTTGGCACGCCTCAAAAGCGTGAATGTTGGCGTCCGAGGTGTTTCCTCTTCGAGGCGCACGGCGGTTGACGAATTTCCTCCTGAAAATCTTCAACAAAAAGACAGAAACGGGGAGGATCACGTAGAAATGTATAGAAAAATCACCATGTTTAATAGGCTCCTCAACGAAGGGAAAAGCTTAGGTGCTGAGGTCGACATATCGACCCATCCCGTGGAACCTACCATAGGCAGCAATGTGACCAATGTTCTAAAAAATCCATAGGCTCTTGGGAGGAAAAGGATGCTTAACATCTGAAACTGCGACTTCAAAGCAAACTTCAACTGCCTCACCCATACTCTCACCCCTCTAAGCTGCCTGGCACACCCGTAGTACTATGGCTGTAGGCTGTAGATGCTGAAATCCCAAAAAGCGAGTCAACAAGATAGGTCAACAGCTGTCATGCACAAATAAATCAGCTGTCCACTCAAGTCGTGGAAGCCTCGTGTTCTGGGCAAAATTGTGCATCAGCTGATGTGCGCAGTTAGCTGTGCTGTCAATCGTGTAGTGATTGGCATCACTGGATCTGGAAGACCCCAAAAATCTGGATCTGGGAGACCAAAATGAATGACCTGTCCATGGCAGCGCAAAAAAAAGTCGTCAATCCGCAGGAAACCGAGCGAAATTCCCTGGGCGGCCGCACTTGTCACAGGTCTCAAGCATGGCTTGTAGAGTGGACCTGGCCGATTGTGGTCTGCTGAAAGAGCGAGGGTGGCCAAACCCCATCTGGACAGAGCGGATCACGTCTCGAAGAAATACGCGTGACACGCCAATCGTCGTGCGAGTGATGAAAAGGCCAACGCCTGAATTCGGCGTCCACCTTCTCCCCGCTCTCTCCTTGGCTTAGCCGCTCCTTGTAGCTGGCCAACAAGGCCTGCAAAGTGCTAAGTGGCAGCATCTCATGTAGGTTGCATATCCCAAAACTTCATCAATGGAGTCCTTCCAAGTGGATCTCTTCAATCAGGCTTAATGAGAATCTCTGGACTTGAGAGGTTCTTGGTGATGTAGCTATTACACTGCTATTACCGTCCTAAAGTCCTGTTCGTGGTGGTAACTCCATGGCTTCACAAAAAGCATCCAGGCCTGGCATTCCTCAGCTAAGCCGCCTTTGCCCCGCACCAGTGAAGCAGAGATCTGCTTTGCAGCATCCTCAGCACCATGCATTGTTGAATCTAACGTGTTTGTCATTCTTTTGTCGTTTTCTCTCTAATGATTGATTCTATGATAGCTACAGCTATGGGTCATAGTCGCAGTGTGATGTTTCATCGACCAAGTTCCTCTAACGGCTGGATCTGTCTCAGGCATTGCACTCGTCTGACACGCATGACACTGGCCGAAGAAAGCGCATAGCCATATGCCCTCTCCATCAATCCCATCGACTGGGACCTGTCTGATGTCCCTGTCGACTGGTCTTCTCTGAAACGTTCGCAGCAACTTTCGCTCGATCACACCGTCACACGCCCTCACACGGTCACGACAACATCGTGCGCTCCTCGAGCTCTCGTTGCAGCTCGATCTCCTGAATGGTCTTGTAGTGCAGCAAATTGGGACCTCGGATCTTCCACCGTCTGGCGACGTGGCTTCATCCGGTGGTGGTTTGATCGAGTTATCATTGCCTCTCCAACCCCGGCGTTCTTGCAAGCCGCACCGTGGAATGGAGGTTTTATGCCCATGAACGACTATTTATATATGGTTTGTTGTTAAGAGTATAGAGAGATACCAGAGTATAGAGATATACCATCCATGGTGAATCTAAAGATCTTCAACTGAGTTCTGAGTGCCTCGTTCTGAGTCGGTGGCCATATCGGTCCAGCACACGCCAGACCGACATCGCATGGAGGCACCTCGGAACACCGAGGTCAACGCACCCGCTCGGTGTCGCGCGCTCGTCGCTCGTGTGTGGGTGTGAGCTCCAATCATGTCAGTTCTTTCACAGCAGATTCTCCGTATTCCACTGCAGGGTATTTTGTTTCGCCAAGAAATAAGATCGGAATTGATGGTCCCTGCATGCGGTTTTGAGTGTTGGACTGTTCAGCCAGCCCACATCCCTCCACAATCCTCCAGTCACATCATTCCACAATCCTCCATCCTCCCCTGCTCCACGACTGATGTGGCACCAGTCAGGCAGGGTGGAGAACTCCGGCGCTGCTTCGCAGCTCTGCAGTTGATCCGCCTGCAAGTGCCGACGGCGTCGTGCTTTCCGCAAGGCGCCACAAGGAAGCCAACCACAACTGTGGCGGTATGTCTCCAAGGGGGTGACAGGTATCAATTCCAAAATATCCGGTGCAGTAGGCTTGGGATCCCAGTGGCAATCTGGAAGGGAATCCTCAAGCGGTGTTTATGTCTGATGAAACTGATGGTTGGCTTCTATCTGGATCCATTTAGGTGTTGTATGATTTTGTTGAAGAAAAGATATAGAACGTGTCCTAAATGGATCCAGTGAAGAAAACATGTCCGACAATTCCTTCACAGGTTACAAGAAAGAGATCTCATCTCAAGGTTCCAACAATTCCGGATGAGTTTTGCACAAATCCTGTACCAGGTACCAGCCGGAAGGTAGGGTCCCTATCTCTTCCTCATCCAAAACGTGTAAATGCTTGTTGCTAGGTGTTTGTCAACTTTTCTTGCATCATACATGTTTTTTTTCACCCCCCAAGCAGTTGTACTGCATGGTTGAGGATCCAAATTTCAACCCCCAATTCTACACCCTTTGACGCGCCACCTAACTCCCAATGAAACCCACGGGGCAATCAAGCCAGAACGCCAAGCACGGCACACGTCAACGCAGCGCTTGGGAGCGGGGATATCCCGTGGAGTGTAGATGTGAAGGGCAGCGGAAATGAAGACTCAGACAAACCGTCTCTCAAGACATCATTCTAATATAACCTACTATATAGAGATCACTTGGTATGAGCGCTTCGTGCCTCCTTGAAGATCTTCTTCCGGAGTTGCATCGCCTCCTGCGCAAAGAGCTCTGTGGACCAGCGCACCTGGCGGCGGCGTTTTGAGAACTGAGAGGTGAGAACGGTGTGATGGAAAAAGACTCAGCCATACCAGGCAACCACTAACGATCACAAATGGACAGAAAAGAACCTGACTCATCTCACTGAGATTTGTGCTTCGTCTGATTGAAAGGACACTTTACAATCGCAGGTGCTGTTTTTCCGGGTGTCCTTTTTCACAACAACTCCCAAACCGGACAACGGTATGAAAGACAACTCCCAAAGGTCGTAGACACGGAAGTGTTCTCTCTTGGAAGCAAGGTTCAAGGTTGTGTGGTGTGGAGATCTCCGTCTGCCACTTGCCGCACTTGCCCAATCCGAGCGGCCTCCCGGCCGGTATGGTCCAGATCACTGGCAAAGGCGGAGGGCAAGAGGAAGACACCTCAGGAAGAGCAGGTTTGTCAAGTTCATCGGAGGTATCCCATCTACTGCGCTCGAACACTCCATCACAAATATGAGTGATGAGGGCATGTCTCAATCGTTTCAAAATATCAGCCCCAAAACCCATGAGAGAAAATGCCAAAGTTCGTGGGGCTCAACGGGTCTTGCATTGGTCTTCCATTGTCGGGCAATAACAAAAGCATACAAAAGCTAACCCGTGCCCATTTCCCAACATCTGTCAACCAGAACCACTTCTTGACCTCTTCGATGCCCCATGTCTAGCACGGGACTAGCACGGGCCTTAATGTCTACTGAACAAGAAATACACCCCAAAACACCAACAAGGGCCATTTCTCGGTCCACACTGCTAGCACATGCAGCACCACACAGTCACCATCCACGATGCACGTCCGTGTCGTGTCGGTGGGACACCGGGCTTCCAGGATCCAATGAGATCAACTCGTCCAAGCCTCGCGCGACGCACGACGCGGGCGTCGCGTCCGAGCGCACGAAAGGACATTCGTCCGGATGGCGTCCGATGTTAGAATGTGTCCGGGGGCTGGTGTCCGGGAAAAGAGAGTGACATCAGATTCATCCGAATTAGCTCACTTTGACACAACAGAAACGATACAACGAACGCATCGAGAGAGGGAGACTGCATCACTGCATGACTCACCTCGGACTGGCGGATTTGGAGTCTTTTGCTTGGAGAGCGCTTTCGTTGGAAGCTGCTAGTCCTTGATCCTTACCTGTTGGAATGTTGTACATCCTGATTGAATACATCCTCGCTTCAACTTCTTGGATTTCTCAATGACTCTGCCTCAATCCACCGAGCTTGATCCCTTCAGAACCTCCTCGAACAAGCTCGAGCAACCTCCAAAAGCTCTCTTCAGTGTCGGTGCCTGGCTGCGTCTCTTCGTTCATCCAACTGGCCCAAACAGTCCGCTCTGACCTCCACACCTCCAGACCGGCCGAATTCGAACACCGTTCACCGTTCAGCAGGCGCCCGGGCGCAGGGAGAGCTGCAACGAGGCTTCCGCCAGATGCTTTCGCATGAGCCGCAGCGCGTCGCCGTGCACCGCCTGGGACCTGTGGGAGGCGCGGACGGGAGGATGGCAACGGACGAAAGAAGAGAAGAGAAACGTATCAAAACATATCAAAACAGCCCCCAGTCTTTTCCTCCCCCTTCTAACAGAATTCTCTCAACATCTCCAGCTTATGTGTGTTTTTCAAAGTGTTTGATGAATCAACAGTCAAGATTAAGACGGCTTTCATTGGGGATCTAATGGGACCTGACACAGTCGAAAATGGATAGAAATCGATAGAAATGTAGAAATCAGCTCAAAGGAAGGTACGTTTTCTGGGTGACGCCTGATGACCTCCTCCCCTCCTATTGTAAAGCTTCTTTATACATGGGGGGCTTTATTCATTAAGAGTCTACATGATGTTGCATCAACGGTTGGGACGCCCACGGTGATCCCAGGGGCGCCTGTCATGCTGATCACGGAGCACGAAGAGTAACTTGGGCTGGATCCGGCACACCTTGAAATGCGCAAGACCATGCAAGACCAAGAAGTTGACATCCTCCGAAAAAGTGGGCGCAAAAAAAGCTGTCCAAATGGTCAGTTTCAATTTTCCCTAGAGCACCCGTGGTTTCTGGTGCATTGCCTGAGCTAAGAGCCGCACATATATGTGACACATGGTCGTGATTCCAAATGACACTTCTCTTTAAAAATGAAAAGAGTGATCTACCAGAGCTCCAAGAGTTTTTTCTGGAACTGAGGGAGGTATATGTAGCTACTACCACTACCTGTGGAATCGTGAATCTGGGATGTCAGTAAAGGTCTCTCTGGAACATTCTGGAACTACATCTCTTACGCTATTTGCCCACATCCATCACAAGTTGAGTTCATCCTTCGGGCTTGTTAGAGGCAAGGGAAGTCGCAACTTCTCCACTACACACATGCCGCATGCTTGGTGGGACGAAAAATCTCGTCTTTGGAGTGATTTTGGGTCAGCTCAGTCACTACCTGTTGAGGTGATATGATAATTATCTGATTTTCCAACGGGCGTGTTTCCGTGTCGCTTCTCGTGAACTGCCCGACCCGACCGAACTCCGCCTTGAGGTGCTGCATCGCAAAGAGGCACACCTGGTGCCGACGGGGAAACCGGATTTGGGGGGACAGAGACCAAAGCAATTCAGTGAATCTCCTAAGACAAATTCTAGAAGCCACGGCCACAACAGGAGCATGAAAGACCTGCAAAAAGACCAACCACCGGAGCACTGTTAGTTACGCATGTTGATGTACAGCGTTGTTCCCGAACCGTTCTAAAATACCCTCCTCCCAAAAACCTCCACCTCAAGCGATTCCAGGCCTCCAGCAGATCTTGAAGTTGTCGTGAGAGCTCACCTTTGTGGTTGATGATCACCTGCGACCGCAAACCCGAGGGCCGTTGTCAAACGCGGAACCAACGACCCAAGGGAACCAACGGAGGAAAGCTGCCTTTAAGGACCAACTGAAACATACTAAAAGCAAGCTTTCCCCCAAAGAGCATTTACACGTCCTGAAAAAGAGAACTCCACTCCGGCGTTCCAAAACCAATTCCTTCACAATTCCCACTCCTTTGGCAACAGCAAAGAACCTGCAAGCACCGCCACCACAGTGGACCCCAATGAAAGGTAATATCCCCAAAAAACGTGGCACACAGGAAATCTCCTTCCAACCATCCCAATCCCCCAATGCAAAAGATCCAAAAAAAAGAGGTCATGCAGTGCCATGCAGCATGAAAAACCAGGTCTGCTTGAAAGCCGAACTTTCAAAGCACCACGGCTTCGCTCCTTGAACGTCACTGGGTTGCCAGGCCAGGTGTGAGCACGCCATGGCCATCAATGCCAGCTGAGCGTCGAAAATGCCGCCCCCCTCCGCCTGGAGAAACGGCAGAAACGCAGCCTCTTCAGTGCCAGATGGACGGTATTTTTGGAGGTCTTAAGATTGGCCAAATCGAAGGGTTGGGAGGTTGGTGGGTTTTTGGTTTGTTCACAACTTGAGCTAAACAAGGCAGGGCAAGACAATCACAATGATGATGACTTGATGAACTCCCCACTTAGGTCTACAGGTAGGGACATGGATGACAGGTTTTCTCTGAGCCAGGCAACACGCCTCCAAACTCATTAGGCCTTCAGTGTCCAGAATCAATAGCCTCAGCGCAGCTCCGCCACATGAAAAGCTCACCCGCTGACCCCGAGGTTTGGATGCTGGACATGCAAAGCAGGACATGCGAAGTAAGACATGCAGGTTGCTTTTTATTGGTGTCAGATGGCTTCTTGGGATCATCAAACCCCCTTCTTGGAAAACCTCAACAGCTCAAAATAATGCTGCTAAGCTCTTTCATGGGACAGCCACGGCAATTATATAGCTTCCAAGATGAGTGCCACTCTAGGGAATCTGAAAAAAGAAGTCTCAAAACAAGTAGCCTCGCTAGTAGTAACAGGTGCCTTACTAGTAGTAACAATGTTTGCCATTAGAAACAAGTGCCTTACTAGTAGTAACAAAAAAGCTATTAGAATTAAACATAAATTAACGAAACCCTGAAACCATCTTTCGATGCTACACCGCATCACGGCGCGTTCTTCACGGTTTCGGATGGGGTAGGCGCGTTCTTCCTTCGCACTCCATCAATGAACAGTAAAGGCCTGAGGCGTGCCGTGCAAGATTCTCTTCAATGGAGAGGACCCTGGTAAAGACTAACGTAACGTCTGGGGAACACAAACAAACGGTCTTTTCTGGCAAATGGATCTTGGCTGTCTTAAGAAGCGAGTGTGTATATATATATATATGCAATTAGTCACTGATCGTTTGTATAGCGACTTGTTTGTTTTACTAAATGCGTACCTTGTCGGTTGCATGGGAGTAGACGTGTTCACTGTGCCCGATCGGTTAGGATCAGAAGGACAGAAGGATCAGAGCAGGCAGTTGCTCCATGTCGCAGCAGTTGAAGTCTTGTTTCGCATTAAGATCACCTCATGGGGGCCCAAAAAGAACCATATGATATGAAAGGGTCTAGTGGCCTCATCCCTCCGTACCTCTTGAGAAAACAGAACGGGGACCTAATGAAATCAGCTCAACTACACTCCTTTGCTTCCAGGACTGCGCCCCGGTCAAGGCAAGGTCTCCACACCACGCCATGCCAACGCCCCCCCGGTCCCTTCCGTATGGTTTGTGGTTTCACCGGCGAAATCGCCTCGGGTGCAGCGCCCTGCCGAGGTGGCGAAGCCGCAGCCGAAGAGGAAATTCATCAAGGTGCTCTTCGCCTCAGCTCGGGACCGACCGGAGCGGCTCCCAACACACGGGGGCGTTCCACTGCGAGGGCAGCCCGGTGGAGTCGGAGACAGATAAGGACAGAGATGGAGAGAGTGCTTTTATATAGTTTGTGTGTGTGTGTGTTTCTTTTCAGAAGGAGAAGGTGTTCGTTTTCTGGCCGCGCGGAGATGATGGTTCAAGGACCTGAGTAGGGAAGCAGGACCACTGAAGGGACCTGAGTAGGGAAGAGGGACGTCCGAGGCGGCAGCTGGATTTATTCGTCTCCAATCGAGTCGACATCGGGCCTATGAGACTACTAGTACTAGTAGCTTTTTGTTACTACTAGTAAGGCCAGAAGCCCCTAGTAGCTTCTTGCTCCTAGTAGTAAGGCACTTGTTTCTAATAGCAAACATTGTTACTACTAGTAAGGGCACCTGTTATTACTAGGGAACGAAGAGTCCAAAGCTCGAAACGAGGCCGAAACGAGTCGATCGTCACTGTTCTTTGCTTCGTCTTTAGGACTCTGCATCGAAGGGTCCCGGACTCGGAAGGTCGATCGTTCTCGTCCAAAACCCCCGGACCTTTTCTAGTAGCTTCTTGTTCCCTACTAGCGATGGCCTCCAGTAGCTTCTGCTACTAGTTACTAGTAATGCCAGGAGTGCCCCTAGTAGCTTCGTGTTGCTCCGTTCACATCCTCCCGAATCCGGTGCTCCCCTGGCCCTGCGTCCTTGTTCCATCTCGTGTTCGACCCACTGCGCTTGGAACTCGTGCCAAGTTGGGGCCCAGTCCGAAGATATGGCTTTGGCCATTCGAACCGGTGACAGGCGAATGGCTCCGGTGACAGGTTTCGGCTGCGGTGTTTCGGTTTGGGAAACACTTCTGACTTCGAGTAGAAGTAGAAGACTGCAAGGTCTGTGGTGAACACCTCCGTGAGCAACATGTGGCCCAAAAAAATAATGAAGAACCTTCTTCAAGTGCGATGCCAAGTTCGCTAATAGGTTGGCGGCCATGGCTACTAGGTTGGAGGCCATTGCTACTAGGTTGGAGGCCATCGCTGTTAGCTTGAATTCAAAGAAAAAGATTCATCTATACCTGTGAAAGCTACAAATCCTCAACATGTGCGCAATCACAACCAGTTGCAGATATGTATATTGTTGAACAGGAAGACCCTTGGAACCAAACCATAGAGGTCCTATCCGGATAGGCAAACCAAACCCTTACAGGATTGAGTCCATCAACAGCGTCACTGCCTCATCTCACCACCTCGTAGCTTCAGATGTAGTTCTCGCTTGGCCGATCATCTCATTTTCCTGCCCTTTGGTTAGTGACAATTCAGAAGTCGGAGCCATCCGCAGTTGTGCTAACTGCAGCCAGTGGCGGCCAGTTCGGAGCAGGATCAAAAGACACCAGCGGCGGGTAGCGATGGACAGCATCTGAATCAAAAACATCACCCTTCCCAAACTCACGTAGTCACGTAGCAGCCCACAGAATTTGGGAAGATGACGTGCCTTTCCACGCATACAAACGCGCTATGCTATGCGCACCTAGCTCATGTTGGGGGAGGGTTCAAAGAGACACATCTCAAGCCGGTCTTAAGGACCTTCTTGGCCTTCGGGCGTATGAAGCCACGTGTCTCTGATACAGAGTACCCAGTTGAATTTGGGGGCACAATAATCTAGAAACTCTTCTCAATATGCAAGGTGCCATAATGACCGCCTCTTTGAATTGCAAGAGTTTGAGAGAGGAGGCATGATTTGATAGTCATACTCAAAGAATGGACGGTTGACCACTGCAGTCTTGAGTTCAACAGGATCAGAGCCACCAGGGCTTCGCCGGAGTTCCTCCAATCGGTGTGAGGAATCGACGAAAAGAATAGCCTCTGCAGCTCCTTTTCTTCACGAGTGCAAAGATACACGCATGATGGATGTGGAGTCTGGAAGACCCTTCTCCGAATACTGAACAGGTGGTGAACTTCACTTCTATTGATGATTCCAGGGAGTGTAGTCTGACACATGACTTACCATGACCAGATCTCTGTCGTCGCTTTATTGCTTGGACCAGCAAGCTTACCAAAATCCCTCAAAATCGGGATAATATACATTACATGGGTGAAAAGAGGGTTCCCAGAAAGTTGATGGACAGGCTTTTTTGTTACGTATCTTCAATGAAACACTCTGTCCATGTCGTGAGGGTCATAATCCAGAGCCTAGTGAAGCAACATCCTTTGAAACCGCCAGCTCTCCAAGGCCACGCTTTTTGCCAAGCCGGTGGCTTCAAGACCTGCTGAATTGACGCGAACACCAAACGACTGAACACCAAAACCAACGGATCGCGTTTCGACCAAGCCGGCGAGTGACCTCCGACGGATGCACCGAGGAAGTCTGGCCGGCCAGCTTTATGGCTGCTCTGTCTCAACTGCTTTTGATTCCTCTGGAAGGACGGCTTTAGCCAAAGTCAGAGGATGCCTGGAGACGGCTTTAACCAAAAACGGAAGCCGTTGGCAACTTGGTGCTCGGCCCCTGAAGCCCTGAGGCTCTTTTTGTGGGTTGAAACGATCTGATATTGCACGGGGGACCTCAGGGGAGAACCTGTGGATGGTTCTAAAAGACTGTTCACATAAAAGAAGAACAAAGGCCAGACTCACTCACATGGACAGGAAAATCGACTCTGGTAAGACTGGTTTCCTCTTCAAACAGGTGGATTTGCGACTTCCATGCGAGTGAGTTCGGTTTATTTCATCCAAGGCGCAGGACAAGCACCACAAAGACTCCCAAAATCGTAAGGGGTTCGAAGCTGCGCAGGAAGGACACCCGAGCCTTTGGGCCTTTGTAGCTGCCATTGACCTGCCCCTGCCACGACGGACCGTCACGGACTTGCCAGGTGCGAAGAAAAGGAAGGGTTAAGTTAGTTGTAATTGTAATGTTTGCATCCAAGGATAGCAAGAAGTGTGAAGAGCCTAGCACAAGGAAATAAGGAACATCGTCTAGAAGCATATACGTATAATGTGGTGCTATCAACATGTCTTTTAGTATAGTTGAAGGCCATGCCGATATCCCGAAAGATGTGCCATCCACCGAGAATCCCATTGTCCGGCCAAAGCCACCGGATGTGCGGTGTGGAGGGCTTGGAGGCCAAGAGTCTTCCACAAAAAGGCAAGAAAGCAAACCCTGAAGATCCTTTTTGAATGCAGCGCATTGCAAGACTTGGTCACTTGGTCACCTCTTCAGAAGGCTCCAAGTCTTTTTTCCAGCCTTCCAGCACCAACTTTTTGGGACTGTGGAAAAGGTCCAAAATGGGTCTCGTTCAGTATTTGTCCATCCTGCCGGTACCAAAAAGGAAAAACGAGAGCTTCGTGTCTTTTTAGAGGATGACCAAAGGCTTCACAGGATGAACCAGCTTCGTCGCGCACCGGGACCTGCTCCGAGAGCTCCGCGAAGGTCCAGAGTATCACCACGAGGTTGGCCACCTGAGCCACGTCGCCCGGACCGGAACCGTTGGACGGTGCAAGGAGAGCCACGGTCAATCATCATGTTCTTGTTCTTGGGTATGTTGAAAGGACCATCAACAGCTGTGCTTTCGGACTTGTTCCGTTCAAAAATGTTTGGGCATAGCCTAGCCAACTTGGGTGTTTACGACCAACAGTTTGTCGGAAGTACAGCATCAGCGTGTCGTTTCACCCCAAAGTAATTGAGTGAATTATTCCCCGTCTAAAGTGATAGATCATTATTAAGCTGACTCACCCGTGCCTCGCCTGCAGCAGCAAATACAAAAACAAGCTCACGTAGAGCGAGACCTGCGTGGTGTGCCACGAGACTTGGTGAAGAAACCGAGTTGGGTGAAACCGCTACAACCCCCTGGGAAATCCAGGTTCCTTATATATTGTGGTTAAGTCGGATTCTCTGTGGAAGCTTTGGGATTGCGGGCCAAGACTGCTTTGACTCTTTTCCTGAAGATCTGCATCATGTGAATCAAATGGTTTCAATTGGCTATAGACTGTGCGGCAGTTGTTCCCAAGAAATTGAGTGGCCTATCGCCTACCCTTCTGGCATTTTGAGGTCGTTCATGGAATGCTATGTTTGCCGAGCGGTGCACACGGTACACCTGCTCATGTCCCATATTTTGACCTACACCTAACCTAAGAGCGATGGCCTTCAACCTCAGAGCGATGGCCTCCAACCTAATGTCCCATATGAAACTTTCGGCAAACCTCGAGTGGCAAGTGTGGCGCCTTCTGGCATGTCGAAGCTTCGATGGGGAGCGCCAAGCATACGAAGAGCGCTAAGGTAAAGTAGCCCAACTGCAGGCCCAGGTAGGGAATGGTATGTGCTACCACAGTGTTTGAATCGTGGGATGCCGCCGGGTTCCAGAAGGAGACCATGAAGAAACATCCAAAGCCTTGGCATATTGGAGAGCCTGCGCACCAGGTCCAGCTCACTCAAGGCACCTTTGGTACCTTTCATCTTTGGTGTTTGGTGTCGGCGATGAAGATTAGGTGCCTACACATCCAGCTCACTTGGTTTGCTGAGTCGGGAGTAAGTACCTTGGAAATCCTAGAAAGGTAGGGAGCCTGCAGAAAGCTTAGTGGGCACCACACCCACTTCGATGCATGCATATGACCCCCTTCCATCATTGGCTTCCCACCATTCAGTGCCTTTCAGAAGGCCCAGATCTTCCACCATCACTCAGATTCTGGCAGACGGGAGGTGGTGGCAGTCCAAATGATTAAGGAAATGGATATGGCCGCTCCTTCATGCGCAAGATTAGATTCTTCATGCACCATTCTCACAAATAGGAATGTAAGTGTGGTGTACGTATTATATTACATTCTGCTATATTGCATAGCGTCGTGTTCTGTATATGGTGTCATATAAAACTCTCTATTGTGCTATATTGTGCTGCTTACAGGCACCCCAGCAAACGCAGCTCAGAAGCAAAGGGCCAAAAATACCATGAGAACGTGCAGGCCCAGCACTTTTCCACGTGAAGCCTTCCACTCCTCTTTGAAGTGCCACCAAACGGCAAAGAGCGCGTACTCATCCATGAGGCCTATGGCGCTATGGAGTCGCAACCGGTGGACCGGGCACCGTCGCAACCGGTGGACCTCTCGGAGACGGAGCCGGCTCGGCGGACCAAAATCGGGTCGTCTTGGTGCTGAGAACGCAAAAAGAAGACGAAAGAGAACCAAACACCAGGTAACTAGACCCCCAGGTTTGAGAAAGGTTACAGCGACCCCCAGAAACATAAAATCCTTAACTATGTATTGGAAATTGTTTCTATCTATTTGGGGACCTCTATATTACTAGATTGAATTTCTGGCGATTGGGTACTATGACCAATCCCCCACACGGTTGGCCACTTCGAATGAAGTTTGCCAAAATCCGATCTCTGGAACGAATCTTCGGCTGAGACCAAAAGAGACGATCCGACGGAATTCTCGAAGACGTCGAGACAGATGACGGACCTCGAAACAAATGAGACGTTCTCCTACAGATGTGCGAAGGCCTGCGACGAGGAAAACCACCAGCGCCGCTTCGTACCAGCCAGGAAAGTCCATCGCCACGCACAGCGACGACTGCCCAAAGGCGTGGGAGATGGCGTTCTCATTGGGGTCCACATTCCCTGCCACGTGTCGTCGCAAGACCACGGTGGAAAAAAGGTTACAGTGGTTTCAGAGTAGACGGCACAATGCCCAAAGGTGGTTAATATGGAACCTCTTGGGGGTTGTGCCATCTACTCTGAAACTACTGTTTATGACTAGTAGATACATCTAACCAGGCCCTCGTGATAATCTAGACAACCAGACCAGCCGAGTCTTTTCCTGAAATAGGTGTTCCAGTGAAGCGCAATCAAAGTACTGTCTGGGAGTTCCCATGTCGGAAAAGTTTTTAGACCCTAAACTGGCCTGAAGTATGTGAGTGGTGAGTGGTGAGTGCCCCTATCCTGCATGATATAGGGAAACCACGACATGGGACTGCTGGTGAAACCCAGCTGGTCGCTTCGTGATGGTGCTTCGTCGCCAGTCGTTCCGCACTCTACATGACCGGTTTGACACCCACGGTGTGAAAGCCTCGGAGCGGATGGACCTGGGCTTCTGCTCCTTGGACAGCCCGATTTCCGCTCATCTGCAGACAGGAGAAACCAAGAAAACAACCTCATATCATGTGTGTGTCCAACATGTCACTGTCTCTGTGTGCGTGTGTTCGGCCACAAAAAAAAGGAACCGTTCCGTGTCACTGTCTGCCGCCTGCGAGGTGGGCGATGATGGGCACCACCAGTTTCAACAGCAAGCTGCCACCCATGAGCTTTAGAGGCTTCGAAGAGATCCACTGCATCGCCGATCCCGAACACGCAGCGGTCAGCGGGCTTGGCGGTCAGCGGGCAGCGCTCCGGAGCGGGTGGTGAGCCTCTTCCACGGCTTGAGCCCGCTGCGGAGGTGGCTCTAGTCGGTCAACATTCACCTTTGGAGCCCTCAATGCGTTTGGGATCCTTTCAGACGGCTCGGGTGACAAAAGACTGATCAAAAGGAGCAACGTTGAATGACTACCTGCTGGTCAGACCTTCCGTCATCCAAGAATGGAAGACCCAACCGTCTGACGGCTGGATGTCTTGTCTTGAACTCCTCGATTGAGGACGTGTTGCTGCCTGCCCAGCCCAGCATGACCAAAAGTCCCCACCGTTCTTTCAGCATACCCGACTGCCCAAATTTCGGAAAGACGAGCAGAAAGTGCCGCGAACCTGGATTGACCATCTATGACCTGTAGGACTGTGAAGGCCTTGCAGGGTGGCTTCTTAGCACCAAACCAGCTGTTGGATTAAGAAAAAAGGGACACCACGTGAAAAGCACCCCGCTGCCGGTGAAGTCCAGGATCTTTTAGGTTCCAACGTGTTCCCTTCGGTTCTGGCGGATCTGTTTCTGGATGAGTTGAGGAAGAAACCACGGCCGAGGTGGTAAAAAGACATCGAAGAAAAAAGCTGGGCTTTGTGGCTGAGCTTTGGATGCCGATGACGGACACCACGAAGAGTTCTCGCTGGTACTGAGCGCCTAAATCCTCCAAACGAGGTGAAGGAGAGATGAGGACAAGGCCAAGGGGTTGATTGAACTAAGAGATTGTTGTGTAGACCCATTGGATCTAATTCTATTGTATGCCAATTATCAATAATTCAGGTCTTTTTGTACCATTCACTCCGACTCATGTTCCATGGAAGTGGACGATGGACTCAAGTAAGAAAAGTTTGCTCTATTTCCATGCGTTCGTCGGAGGGTACGAACGGCCGTCCAAAACCTGGGGACTGACCGGTTCACCCATCAAAATGAACTGCATGCAAGTCCAGGTTTTGACCCATTAGTTAATTGTTGCAACACCTAGGCAAACGCATCTACCCAAAAAAATCTGAAGCACAAGGCTTGCAGAAGCGTGCATGAATTACAAACAATTGGGTGTTAAACTGTTTAAAGTTCGCTTCTTCAGTCCAGGCAAGGTCTGCCAGCTGCTAGAGCTGCTACAATAGCCGTCGCTTTTGACCCCGCAACATCAATGGGAACAGCTGGCGGCTTTTTCCCGGTGTCCCGCTGAGCGTGGGTTTCAGCACAGCGGAGGAACTTGGTGAGCTGGTAACTATTCCAGGTATGTGAAAGGCACCGTCGTTGTAAAGTGTTTACTGTAATGATATCAACATCATTCAACATCTGACGGAGATGGGCCAAAGAGAACAAGTGCACATGTCTGCTAGACAGAATCAAGCTGTAAACATCGTAAACATGTGCACATGCTGAACCGTCCGCCTGTCATCTAAACTCTCCACACCTGTCGTCTGAGAAACCCGCTCCGCGCTCTTCGGACTCCACTCGCCTCCGGCGATCCGCCCTGATCCGCCCCCCTCTGGCCTTCAGCACATCCACTAAGAACTGACCCGCACCTGGGTGCAAACCACAGCGAAGAGACCGATCACGTACTGAGGTGGAGTGTGTTGCAAGCGAGTGTCACTCCACCAAATCCAACAAATCCCCAAGTTTGGGGCTTGTCAAGTACTTCTGCACCAGGATGGGGACAATGGACAAAGAATCTGCCGGTTTGCCGACCACAGAGGCTTCAGTTGATCTAACACCTTGCAACCCACCGCTCCAACGATGCTGCGCTCTTGAAACTCTCTTCCAGATTTCTTGCAGTTTGCATGAGGAAAACGAACCATGGGTCCATGGGAACAAAAAACCTCGACCTGCACAGCGTGTGACATACGCAGTTCCCAGCTGCGCCGCCGCTAAAAATGACTGCACGTTCATCCTGGCCACATGCTCCCTTGTGGATGCCATCCGCCCCAGAAACCTGACGCGACGATACTCGCGACGGCGTGTTTCTCCCACTCTGCCGAGTGGCATTGCAGCGGAGATCCGAAGAGCAGCTGCACCGGGCAGTTCAGATTCCACGCCTGGCGCGGAGAGACGCGTCACCGCAAGGAGTGGGCGATGCGCGCGGCGCGCGTGGATCGCGACGAAGGAAACCCTGCGTTGCACTTCTGAGGAAGTGAAACACTTGGGCTCTGCAGAATGGAGGGGTAGGTAAATCAACTTCCAAGACTTCCAGTGAAGCCCAAAGAGACCCGGCCATTGGGCCAGAGCTCCTCTAGTCTTTTCTCAAAGCCATGGAACACCCAGCTCTTCACCTGGCACTGTAGCTCAACTTCCCACATGACCTGCTGAAAAAAGCAGCTCCTTCAACCCCGGGCCGCGGGCCCCTTCTTCCGCATTCGCACCGCGGCGCACGCACGCCACGATGGCGCGTCTCCGCACCCATTCGCCGAAGAGGCTCTTCAGGCTCGATGCATCGGGGAGGTCACCGATGCGGAGGCCCAAACCTGAAGAAACTGGAGAGGTTCGCGTCCGGAGCGTTCGGACGCTCCTGGCACGGGGCTCCTGGCCTCGCTACTGGAGCATTCTTAGGAACTTTTAAAGCTATACTATAGTGGCTCCTGTGCATTCACCATCAGCAACAGTCCGGAGAGCTGTCCCACCGGTCCAAACACCGATGGACGGGGCACGTCGGGCACCGGTTGGAGTGGGTGAGGTAGGATCGCCCGACATCGCCACGGTCGCGCGAGGCGTTGGGATGATGGGGTCGTCCAAAGCATCCGTAAAACCTGGTCCTCTACCTTGAATAGTGCTTTTGTATGAGGTCATTGACTTGTAGGGGGATTGGATGAGATGGTTGAGTTCTGAGTTCTGTTTCATCCTGAGGATCCCCGCTTTGCATCTCCTGCGACAAGTCGCTGATGGCAGCCACCTGCTTGGAATGCGGGTCAGAGCGGCAGGAATTGTTCTCAACAAGGAGGGCGCGCTTTTCTCCAGTTTTGGTGAGGACAGAAGGGTCCATTCTCTGACTGATTTGCAATCTGACTTGCACGTCTCCTTCTGGAGGCGAAGAAAACGGGTGCGAAAACATGGGTGGAGTTTCGGGGGGCTGCAGGAACTCCAGGAATTCCAGGACCCACATGACGTGCCCAGCCGACGTGCTCAGCCAACGACCTGGTCTCAGTAGGTAGCTAACCGTTCCGTGGTCCATGGAGCTCCAAGGTTGACTCATCAGAATGACCGTCTTCTCTATACAGGCACCTCCATTACGGGGTCACCTGGCTGGAAGCCCTTAGGATCTCCAGCCAGGACACCCCTTGAAGGTCCAGATATGAAAGGAAAATATATGGCCCCATGTCTTGACTGAAGGTACAGAGCAGCGATGATTTGAAGAAACTCTTTCAGATCTGGTTCACTTGGACGTCTCCATCCATTTGGGGAAGAATCACTATGGGGACATGTTCAGTGTTGAACGATCCAATCCATGTCTTTGAGGATATGGTGCCCATTGGTGCCCTGGATTTGGAAGATACAGCTAGAACTCGAACCAGTCAAGTTGTCCAGGTGTTGATTCTCGCCTCAGTTAAGGATCGCAGTCGGCAGAAAACCCCCAGCAGAAAGGTGAAAACGCTTGGCCGCCGGCAGCATCACACAACACCACCGAGGACATCGGCCTCCTCCCAGAAGGTATCTAAGGTGATGCTGAGCTGCTCTGAAGCCTGGACGTCAAGGCCCGACAGGGGCGACGGGCACAGCATCTTGTCCCGCATGGGTCCAGGCGAGGCAACTTGAGGCAACCCAGTCTCGAAGCATTCGAGTGATCGAATGGATTTGGCACAAAGGTTGTAGCTCCAAGTCTCTGCCAAAAGAAAAAGAACATCCGTAGAACTTCGTCCGGAAAACAACAACTCTCCTAAGTCCTAAGTCCGGCAAGGGAGACACCAATCCACCCAAGCTTCAGAATCCCTTTGAGTGCGTCAACAAGAATCGGTTTCGATCCCCGCTTGGTGGGCTCCAATTGGCCGAGACCTGATGTGGTTTGGCCGCTGATCTGTGAAAGGCTTTGTGTGCTGACATGCGCCGTCTGGAAACGAATGATGCAGAACTTCACCAAATTGCTTTTGGGATTGAGGCTCTCCCAACTTTTTTGTCATGCCTCGTTGGAACCGAATCACTGGAACAGAATCCTCGTTTGTTGCACGACTTTCAGAGACCAACATTGCAGACACAGCACCTCGCTTTGTTGACACCATGGCATGTGCTAAGAATTTCACGCTACGCCATGCCAAGGCCATCGGGCCATTCAAAGAAGTGCAGCCCCTTCAAATCCGCGCGCATTCAGCTGGAGGTCTGGCCTGTTCCGTCTCAGTCAGCCGCTTGGACAAGGCTTCCAGCTCTTTCTGCACCTGGCAAATATTATACCAGCGTAGACCCCAAACAGAGCAATGTTCAAAAATGAGATCTCCGAACAATATGGCCAGCAGTATTTCCTAGAGGAAGAAAACTGTAGTCCACCATGTAGACGCACATACAAGATTCAAAGGGAAAGCATTAAAATTCTGTTTTTCATTGACTTTGCAATGGGACGCCGTACAAGGGCTAAAACATGAAATTTATGGATCCAGGTTGTGACATATGTTGCCCCCCTTGTAAACACGAATGCGCAGACCCAATCAAAATGAAGATTTCCTCAGAGCACGGACACTGCGCTTGGTTTTTTCCTTCCTACGCAATTGCCTTCTTTGGCTTAGCCATGTACTGCATTGACCTGTGTTTGCCATAGGCCATTCTTATTTGAAGTAAGAACCCCATAGCTGTCGCTATCTGGGGAACAAGTCTACGAGTCGCGCAGCCTGACATTTTCGATTAGCACAAAAAGCTCAAGCAAAATCACCCCAGCAACAACACCAGCTGCCAACCGATGACCAGCAACAAGGCTTACCAGAGTCACAGCAACCAACCCACTCACAAAAGCACATGAAATTAGACAAAATACTATCATGCGCATATGATGTCATGCACATGAAATGATACGGTGCACGCGGAATGATGTCGTGCGCATGACATGATGTCATGCGCATGAAGTAATACTTCTCATGGGAATACTGTAGTCTTTTACCAACAGCAGCCGAAATAATACTAACAGCAGCCGAAATAATACTCTGCCCGTGAAATGATGTCATGAACATGAAACCATGAAGCACACATGAAATGATGTCGTGCGCATGACATGATGTCATGCGCATGAAACGATCTCATGCGCATGAAATACTAGCATCCAATGTGACCGCATGCAGTGCGGCGACTTGCGGTGCGGTCACGTGCAGTCACTTGCACCAGCGGACAGTGGTGGTCACTTGCTGTCACCTGCTCCAGCACGCGGTGGCGGTCACTTCGGTCACGTGCTCAAGCAGTCTCTTAAGGGGTCACTTACTGTGGTAACTGGCGGTACGGTCACTTGCACTCGCTGCCGTCACTTGCGGTCACTTGCTCCAACAGTGGCGGTTACTTGCTGCAGTCACTTGCGGCCACTCGCACTTGCGGTGGGGTCACGTGCGGTCACTTGCTCCAGCGGGCAGTGGAGGTTACTTGTTGGAGTCACTTGCGGCCTACGTGCGGTGGGGTCACGTCCGGTCATTTGCTCCAGCGGGCAGTGGCGGTTACTTGTTGGAGTCACTTGCGGCGCACTTGCGGTGGGGTGACGTGCGGTCACTTGCGGGCAGTGGCGGTTACTTGCTGGAGTCACTTGCGGCGCACTTGCGGTGGGGTCACGTGCGGTCACTTGCTCCAGCGGGCAGTGGCGGTTACTTGCTGGATTCACTTGCAGCGCATTTGCGGTGGGGTCACGTCCGGTCACTTGCTCCAGCGGGCAGTGGCGGTTGCTTGCTGGAGTCACGAGCGGTCACTTGCTCCAGCGTGCAAAGGCGGTCGCTTGCGGCAGGTTGCAGCACTGATGTTGGAGAGCAAGACGTTGCAACCTTCTTGATTTTTAGCCTCTTCTATTTGCACATTACTTGTGAGAGCTGTCTGCAATTCTGCAATTTGGCGAGCTCGGCACATTAAGCAAAATGAAATTCATGGGAATTCTGGCGCAGTAACCAAACTTTCAAGTGCTCAACGAGACTTGCAAGGCCAACCTTCACGTACTTTGACTGACAAGCTTTTGCGTCGCTGCATTTTCCGCAATACATCGTTCAGCCGTCGTGCCTATCACGTCCAACGCAATGATCGTGTCTACATGCACCCACTCCGAACATAAAACAAAGGCTGCGACAAGGAATAACATTTGCAAATCAAAACGCAAAATCAATTCGCGGCACAGCATAGCCATACTTGAAGCCGCACTTCTACGGATTTTTTACTCGTCACAACGCCCGTTTCCTGTGGAATCGTGTTGCGACGCAAGAACATTACGGTGAACCCTTGTGATCATTCCCCTGGTATGTTGTTTGAATGTTGTCAGTGCAGTTGAAAATGTTTTTTTGCGCTGCCCTGCCCCCCCTTAAAAGATCGAAAGTGTTGTTTACACCCAATCTGGCAAAAAGAAATCCTTGATCCACAAATCGAATTCTTGAAGCAAACACAAAAACCGCACGACTCTTGCAAACAATGCTAATGTCTGCTCACTTCAGCATCCCGAAAAGATATGTAAAATACAAAGAAAAATTAAAAAAAAAACTTCCTCGATCCTGAACACATGGTTACGCAATGGCATTGCTCTGCTGCGAACAGTGTTTGACAAGCACCGCAACGGCAAAAAAGCATTCAAACATGCTGGCTTTCGCAAGTCAGTAAAAACATCTTCTTTTTGGCTACCATCACGCAACCCTCATGAACCCGCAGCAGGCCATCTGCAACAACGACTCTTCAGAGTCAGGGCAGCCAGGCGCCAAAAAAGGGTCACACAGTATGGATTCCGCTTTTCATCATGTCACATGCCGCGTGACTGCAACCAAAATGTTGACATCGATACAATCAACCATCCATCACTGAGAGTGACCCCCAGCGCAAGTAGAAGTGCAGGACAAAGCCCCAAGCTCTGTTATATCGGTCTGAACGCCCTTGCTAACAACAAAGATGATATCGTTATCCGGCAAACTTTTCAACTGCATCTCTTTCCATTGACAATAGTCTCCAACAAGAATCGATCACAAACTGCCACAGCCGGCAAATCATCCTCATTCACATGAATTGCCACCAAATCCTGGCAAAAGAACACGCTTGCTTACATGTTCATTCATATCTCAAAGCAAAGCAAAGCTTTAATTGAATGGCACACCACTAAAGCAACAATGCCTTCTCTGCCGGTTTTTCGTCGTGATCTGGAGCTTCAGGCACGTGAGCTTCAACAAGACTTTCCTCCAATGCGCTCACCGAATAGCGCCACTTGCAAAGCTCAAAAGTACAAAAACATAGCAGCCATGACAAAAATCAATCCATAGATCAAAGCCTCCCTCCCAGCAACCCCAACCTGCTCCTCCAAATCAGCTTTAATCTGCTCATCTGCTTCAGGACACGTCATATAGCCTCGTTGATAATCAAAATCCAAGTCCCTGTGATTGGCTCCGCCGCAAAAAGCTTCTCCAATAGTCACAGCCGCAGCATAACTTGTAAAGCGGTGCCAAGCAAGAGAATGTGCCTGCCGCTTGCCATGACACAGAACATATTTGCATACTCAAAGACCTAAAAACATACATATGTATATATTTATATAGACCGCATTTTACATACCATTTATATATATGTAAACATACATCTGCATATGCTACAAATATATATAATACATACATACATACATACATACATACATACATACATACATACATACATACATACATACATACATACATACATACATTAAAAAGTATATATAGTGGATCACACATAGATGGCATTTGACTCACGCTGGATAAGATGGCATAACAGCCATTTTTGACATTTTTTGCAGATGGCAGTTGATTGAACGGGAGGGCTAGTGTGCCATCTTAAAAGCAACAAAAAAGACCGGACAAAACCTGAGTCAATGTCCTCAATCAAAGCGATCGATGCGAGTGTGCTGGAGGGGAGGCTTGAAGGGGAAGGGGAGAAGAGAGGGCAAACTAGAATGAAGGAGGAATCAGAAAGAGCAGAGCAAGGAAAGAACAAGGAAAGACAAAAAAAAAGAAAGAGGGAGAGTAGAGGATAAATGCCAAACGAAAGAGGAAGAGAAAAGTAGGAAGGCGGAGCAGGGCCCCTGGATGCTTATGGGAGATGGGAAGGGTAACAGCTGGGAGAGGTGGGAGACCTAGGATGAATGGGAACACTAAGATGGCACATGCCAGGTGATGAGAGGGGAGGCTGGAA